CCCCCCCCCCCGGGTTAGTTTATTACAGCCAAACACAATCCATTGGCTTGAATGAAAACCAATTACATTCAAAAACAACCCAGTCCGAAAACCCATTGGCTGAGATGTATGAGGGATTAGGCCTATATAAGCATTATCGACACCCTCATAGTTTTATTAATTCTTTGGGCAAAAATGAGGCAGGCGTCTCTTCTTACTCTCACAGACGAGTTTTTGGTTAGCCTCAGTCGAAAACGCGAAAGGACTTTTTGAAGAGACTTACACCTATGGCTTAGTTGTTTACTAATTAATGTGAATTAACTTCATTTTCAGTCGACATTGCATTCCTCAGAGGACATAAATGTGTTTTCACTGACATTTATAGGTAGTAAAATTAGTGAATTTATTGTCATTGCACTCCAAAATTAGGCAGCGGACCTAAGCCATTGAAGCATGGAGTGGGGAAAAAGTCTTGCGTTTGGAAGAAATTTGTGGAATAGTAATTCAAATTTGGCTATTGCGACCTTTTACACAAAAGGGGTGTGCAAATTTTTCCCCAAACTGTTGGACGCTTTCACACCTCCTGTTTGCAAATAACAAGTCCATTCTGCACTCCAGTATGTGGCATTTGCTAAATGACAGAGATAATGAATTTTTTCCTTTTTTCACATCCCTATCACTGATTACAATGGCCAGACCAGTGGGTTAAGCTGATTTGTTTTTATTTGACGAGTAGACAGGGTTATGCACGACCAAATACAATAGAGGAGCATGTTCTTTCAATTCCTTCTTTCTAAATAGGCAATTATGATGCTTTGGAGGTAGGTAGGATCTTTTAACGTGTTAAGACAGTCTTCGCAACACACAACACGCGCTTAGGCGAAGCTAACGTGATTCAGTGTAGAGATCGATAATACTCGATGATTCATAACCGATGCTTCGAAATATCGATTCACTGTAGGGATTGGTGAATAAAGATCAGTGATGAAGTGCATTACTAATGTGAGAACGACAAATCCCCACTTAATAGCACAAGTTAGCTTTGAGATTGTATCAGTAAATCAGATTACTTGAGCGACGCGAAAACATGCAGACAGGACAATGATTCATCACGAGTTTAAAAAGTGAAATGCAAAACTGTGTTTTTAACTCATGCACATTTGAAATTATGAAGCTGTGTTATCATGACCTTGTCATCACTTATTAGAAGTAAAGTTGAGTTAAAGTGAATTAAAGGAGTTTTTTATCGTAGAGAAACACAAAGACTTAATGATTCTCTCGTTTTTCCAACAGAAACTCCGGTTTGCATAATCAGTGAAGGTGAGGATGCATCAGCGGCATGGAATAAAACACCTATTAATTATGAATCTAAGGCTCTTTACGCTAGTGGAGACATCATATTCCCTCGATCCAGTGATTATTGGCTGCTGCAGGGAGTACCGGAAACCCAGGGGTGAGTTCTCTTGATCGTAACCTTTGACCTCTTAAGCTGTGATGAAGTTGCTGTGATACTACTAATTCTCCGAAAAAATGACTTTTATATCATTTGTCTTTTTCATTTTCAATCATTATTTACTTCTACTGTTTTATAGAAGCTCACAATTATTCCACCATTCATGATGCAAAGTGATCTTTGTAATTTATTATATTTTTTTTGTACGCAAAAAGCATTTGTTTTGACTGCAAACTGTAAAGATGTGGCAGTTACCCGAGTTTCTCCTGCGTACAAAAGAAGGCATGCGACTAGGGCGGAGGGTAAATAACTGATGCACAAAAAATTTGTTGTTTTCGGCCTAGCCTTTGAGCATAAAGTTGTCATACCATGGAATTTCATTACAACTTATTGTTTCCTCTGAAGTTGACTTATGCAGTCTAATGATTTATAACAAAAGTTAATTTTCAGGCAAGAAATTGACCATCGAGTAACTCAATCCACTGGATGTCCTCCAAACGATCCGCCCTCCCATGAAACGCATTTTGGAGTTAGAAGTATGCATTAACTTTTATGATATTCACTTAACTTTATGCTAAAAACGGCCAAATGTTGTGGATTTGGTTGAATATGGCGAGCGATGCGTAAAAAAACATTGTGGCAGCCTCATGGTAAAACACTACAGAACTTAAGTTATGGCATTTTGTGGAAATACCACACCTGGAGAGCATCTGGCAGCATCTCCCAGTGGTCTCGATGTGCCAGTTTCTTATTCATATTTGATTGATTGCAACTCGAAAAAGTGGCGTCTTTATTTACGTCTGCCTACATTTAAAATGAACTTGGGTACGTTTAGATTTATTCTCGACCTTTGAAAGTAGATGCTTAGGGTACGACACCCTAAGCATCAGGAGACCCTTCTACAAATAACAAATTATATAAGTGGCTAAATGTCAAAGAGATGCACCTTAATTGGGTTCTGGCACACCATATTTATGTTTTGTTGTCCTTTACTTCTCTCGTAGAGGGGTATAAACGTCTTTACAATGGACACCTTAGGACGCCCTGTATGCTTCAGTATGATGGCCTAACCATTGTCGAGGACAAGCAAGCTTCACATGACGTCTAGTATTGTACTGTGGGTTAGATCCTTTGAGTTCAAAATCAGCCACCTTTACCTCAGAGAGAAAAAATTATTAAGGGTGATAATGAAAGATCCACAAATGTGAAGAACACTTGAAGTATGCTTTTTCTGCAGAACACTTCCCCGGCATCCCTCGTAATGATTTGCTCGCATCTCAGAGATCGAATAGCCTTGGTCCAAAATTCCCCAGTGACCTCAAAATGGCCATGCCACCACGAGTCCTCGAGATGACAGGTAAGAAGTACAAGCTACTTATTAATTTTGTCAGCGTCCTTTTTGCAGCATTGACACTTGTTGCTCTAAACGCATCGAATCTATGCGTAAGCACCAATCAAACAACTTCATTGCGCATTAATTTTTGAATTTAAAGGAAGCAACATTGGGTCTCTTCGCAAAAACCATGCGCCGGAAGAAATTGCATTTGCAGTAAGTTTTAAAGTCATAATTTCCAAAATATTGCGATTTTATGACTTCCGACTATGCAGTGTAATTTCGCTGATCACACTGGCTCTCAGTTCAGTTTGATTCCTTTTTAGATTTTGCGTTTCATTATCGTTTAGTCTGAAGTTCTTTTACTTCATTAGTAGAAACAGACTGTGTAAATAAGCCGAAGCAGTTGTTGTATTGCGCGCCTAGCACCCAGTTATGTAATTGATTCATTCCCTTCATGTGTAGCGACCAAAAACGCCAGTCGGAATATTACGAAAAACCTCTATGCGAAACCAGCCAAATGATGAGGCTAACCGAGGCTGCCTCCCTGAATGCACCCGAAAAAGAACAGCTTCAACACCAAAATCTGTAAAAATTGACGAATCGTCCCTGCAGCATCAGAACTCTGGTACAACTCCTGACGATCTTGAGTCTATTATTGCCGATCGACTTCGTATGGAATGGATTGACCTCACCAAACCTCCCTATACAAATGCGGTAATGCAATCACCTGTTGCCTCGAGGAGTAATTAACTTGTAATATCCTCTATGTGCGCTTTGACTTGCAGATTGGAGAGTCAGGGATACCTCTACGGTTGGTTGAACGGTATGCTGAAGAGGCTGACAAGGACTTTATGACAATAGCAATGGTTCTTGAAAGTTTACGAGAGCGATTTCTAACCAGAGCTGGTCTACAATTCGTACGTACAAATTGTCTATTAAATTAGGACATTTTAGTTAAATGACATTATGTATCATGATAAGTAGTCGCCTAAGCTTGTTTTTGTCCAGCTACGAGTTTCGTGCCAAGAGTGCAGATAAACACATTTTGATAATAGTAAGCAGCACATTAATTGGGGATAAAATCATTAACCTTAGCTGGTTTTTAGGACCGTCTTAATCCTCCAGGTTACTAAGCAAAGATGTTGATCTATTGAAATGTTTATCAGAAGGATACTACTAACACTAGTTCTCAAATTATTTACTTGGATTTTGTGCTACTGATGCGTTTATCAGTAGCGAGACACTGCGGTAAGGGCACTTGGGAATTTTAATCAATTTCACATGATCGCTAAGCTTCGCATTTTATCAAAGGATGCACTAATACACTTTGTTCCTCATCATCATTTCTATTCATCTCATGTGCGCAGACTACCAGTGATTGTATTAAAGCACATATGTCCTTTAAGTGCTCATTCCTTCGTCGCCATTGCTCTTGGAGGATTTCATTAGCTCAAATTGAAGATGAAACATCTTTTTAGCCTATTTTTTGAAAAGCGGCTGTCAACTTGTTTTAGTCATAGTAATAATTCCTCCCTTGTACACTTCGTTTGCTTATTTTGTAACATAGAGGAGGATGGCATGCGGGTAGGTCGGCAGAAAGATAGGCACATAAGTGGATTCCACTGCACTGACACACGTGTAGCATTTCATTCTTTTCCGTTGGGATAAAAGAGCGGCTTGTTGATGCCTAAATAATAAAAACGCGGTCTTTTTTTCCAAAAAAATAATTGCGTCCACGCTAATCTCCCGTAAATTTAGGGTTTAATGGAAACCTGTACGTCTCTCTTTATGAATACGAATACAAATTATGCTCTTCCTGTTGATGCCCTTGCCCCTGTGGTAAGTTTCGGTTCCGATGATGACATCATTCGTAAAATTTTTAACAATTGCGGGTCCCCATTTTTTTAAATTCTCACGCATTTTTTTGCTGCAGTTGTATTCAAGTGATTGCTCTTACCAGCATTGCAGGCGGGTGGAAGTAAAGGCGACTTTACCATTTTTTTGCTTTTAAGAACGATTTTAGCAAAATTTTTGCTCTACTCGCCAAACCACAGGACCCGTATTTCTCCAGTTGTTTAAGTTATCCCTCAAAACATAAAACCTAACTAACTTATTTATTTTCTTTGTACCATTATTTTCTTGCCCAACCAAGTACGGCAATGAATTATCCCCTTTTCTGATCTACGTGCATAAATCACATGCAAATCCTCTACCATCTACTGGTAGTCCACCGGCGATAAATTGCTTGTGTCATAACACCGACTCCTCATGCTCTTTCAAGTGTTTTTACTATTTCTGGGCAGCGCATCTTAGCGCATGCCTTAACATTGACAATCGGATTGCAGTTCACTTAATGCAATTATTCATGGCACTGAGGTGACAACCTCCGCCTTCCTTCTCCACTCCTCTACGAGGATTTGCATTGTGCAAAATAACCTTTCATACATATATTTTTTTTTCATGCCTTGCATTTTTGAATGACTCACTGTTTGACACAATAAGCAGTACTTGGAGCGGAGGTCAAGTTAAAAAACCTCTTCATATCAGTTACTGCATAAATTTGCCTTTTAGTCTTTTAAAGGCACAACAAAAAGGTCGTAGTGAAAGGGTCCAGAGGCTCAAAGGTTAAGGCTCTGCCTAAGCAAAATATCGGCCGCCTTCTAAGATTAAAGAACATTCTCCAGTCACGGATAATTAGACGCTATGAGGTCAAAAAGTGTCGTTGCAGGTAAAAACGTCTTCGGGCATTTGGTGACGGTGTTTTGAAGGAAAAGTGGACGGAAGGGTAGAAGTACTATTCGAGGGGCAAGTAGACGAGTGCGGGGATCAGCTTGTTGGCATATACTGAAGAGTAGAAAGCGTAGAAATGTCGGTCACCGATTACAACCATTATGTGTAGTTCATTCCCGACAGCATGTACACCATCAATGATTGTTTCATACACAGCAGAACGTCTCGGCAATTAATCATCCATTTTTTGGCATTTCAATCAGAATGTCAAAGGGTCAGAAAGCCCGACTTCATCAAAAGCAGTATGTGGTCTGTTACTGGGGTCCACCTCACGGACGCATCCCTTTATCAACCTACATTTGCGTCCATTTGTAGACGCCAAACTATGATGACATCCGAACCCAACGCTACCTCAACTGCAGTGGGATCAAAACTGACAATTTAACTGACTTTCTCACAACTATCGGCTTGCCAATGTACGCAAATCGACTGGTTGCTGCTATGGGTTCAGCGGAAGTCGCGCTGCCTGCCAGCTTGACAGCTGTCACAGATGCCCAAATGGTCTACGGTCTGGACATTCCACTTGCTCATGTCAGGCGAATTCGCACAGAAGCTGCCCTCATCCCCAAAAGCCTTCTCACGGCCAACACCTCGAGTATGCCTCGTAGTAGTGGGCTCACAAAGCAAATGATCTTTCGTAAACAACAACAACAACAACAGCAACAATATCACCATCATCAACAGCAGCAATCACAACAACAGCAACAATTTCGACAAGTGTTTTCCAAATCGGATATCTTACCACCGGATAGTGAGATTTTGGACAAGGTGTAACACCAATTCTGTCTTGTCTTTTGTATTGTCGGTAATGAGTTGGTTAAAAAGAAAATAGTTATGTACGAGTGACGAATTTTATCCATAACATGGTGACAGGTACTTCTTCAAAGCGTGGCGTGGAGACTTAGAACACTTCTTGTCGCGAGATGGTGGTAATTCTCATTTAACCCGTTTCACAACTTCATCTTAGGTAGTCGCAGAGTCAAATGCCACAAATGACATGCATTTCTGAACTGGAAGAAGCTGTAGCATAAGGCACGGAGTGGGTGCTCAGCCAGCTTTATGCAATTTTAAGTGTCAAAAGTAGGATCTTGTGTTGGGAATTAAAGCCGAGGAGTGAAATTGGATGGCACGCGTTGGATGACCGGTGAGGTTGACCAATCACGGAAAGGAAAATGCGGGTTTAAGATAAACACGATGAGTAAGACTTGTTCCCTAACGCTCCGCTTTCTTCGGTGTTTGAGCCAAAGACGTTTAAGAATTGAACACAGTCTTGACTAAAAGGAAATGAGGATTTGTATGGTCCACATCTGAAGAGGGTAATAAAGGAAGAGAACGCATCATCTAGAGCGCGCCAACGACGGGTACCTCATCGCGTTTTAGACACAAAGGGTTGGCTTCTGGAAGCGAGCGCTGTTCAGAAAGAATGATGCCCAATTCCGCACCCATATTTTCCAAGTGGAATCTGGTAGAAGCATGTAAATGTGTGCCTTGTGACATTCTGAAGGGTGGGGAGACTATAGTGTGACCTTTGAATTCGAAGTTCATTTATCATTAATCACACGAAGCAAATAAATGTGTTGTCCTACGCAAACTCACAAACTGGAAACTGCATCAAATCTATTGATATCGAAAACTTTGATTTGGCTGTTTAATTGATGGACATATTCAATACAAGATGCACGCGTGACCTGCACAGAGTCAGACAGTTCTTGTCGGAGAGCAAAACGATGCAAAAATAGCACCATCATTTTATGCTCTTCCAACACTATGTTCAACCATTCCAGGTTGTAATTTCGAAAGACAATAAGATGCATCATTGCTAAAATTTCACGTTTTAATTGCGTTACCATTAAATTTTAAAAATAACAATCAAGATTGCTTTTAAATATCCATTTTTGCAAAATTTACTACAGCAAAGAAATTTTATGTTGCTTTCTACTTCGAAAAGTGATAAAAAAATAGACCTTTCATTAATTTAGGCAAAATTTGCGCGAAAAATATTTAATTCATTGCAATAAATAAACAGGAAAAAATGGTAGAACTTAAGCAATAATTCGGGTATAATGCAGATGCCAAATTAAAAGCGTTTTGGAAATGTTGTTTGAAAGACCTGGAGAATGATCTGTGGAGCACCAATGTAAAGAGCGGCCTAAGTGAGGTGTAAGAGGTATTGTAACATCAGATTTTTTGGGTAAACAAGATGATAGGAATACTTAGCAGTTTTTTACGTCAGTGTAGTGACAACAATTTGTGCATTTTGATATCCATACTAGTAGGTAGTTGGGACTTTCTTTTCATGTGGATGAGTGTTTGCGGTTCTGTTGTGGCGAAAGTTGAAGAAAACCTTTTGCACTCGTTACCGGTAGCGACATTCGAGGAAGCATATGGTTGATCTGTAGTTTTTTGTTTTCACTTCTTTTACATCACCAGCCCGGACAGAATTAGATGGCAATCAGAGCAGTGGAACCATTCCCATTCTCCTACTAGAAAATAAGGTGCGATTGACGCACTTTCAAGACAGCAAGTTAATAACGATTGACACCGTTTCTTTCCAAACTTGTTACTTTTTTCAAATTTGTATGGTCTCGCTAATAAAGTGTCAGAATGTATTAAGGCGTTAGGTCATCGCGTTTTGTTTATCAGGTAATATTCGCCTTTTCCATCAAATGATCTAGCACTTCCAATGTTTTTTCCACTACTTATCCCTACTTTTTCCCAGAAACATTTAATTCATTTCGTCTACTGCCAATCTCTCGCACGCACATCTCACCCGACCTCCTGCATCTCATGCACCCAACTAATCAAAATTTGAATAGTCACTCGGATTACCTTAGCGCCTAGATGACCTACAAGCGTCGCAACAATACCGAGAGACGGGAACGAAGTAAAAAAGGTTATCACCATCCTGTCGCCATGCCTTGTAAAAATGCTTGTGCCTAACGCAGCCACCAGTTTGATGCAATCACCTTCCCTCTTGTCTCAGCTTCCAGCCCTAAGTGAGAATCTCAAGAACTGGCAGGAAGCCGTACAAGCCCTGATCCCCAACATTCAAGAACTGCTTGCCTTCCCATACTTGTACTTAACAAACAAATAGAAAAAAGCCACATAACTGTAGAAAAGGACCTGAAAGAGGAGGAATGAAGTGGCCAGCACTACTAAGCTGTTTTGTCGATCGACACACATGTAAAAACGCAAACACGAGCAAGCGGTTGGAGTGGCTACGGGAAGAGAACATTGTACTTGAAGTAGCGCACCTCCAGTATTTCCACAAAGCGCGGAAGAGCCACCTCCGCCCTTTCCTCCTCGACGCTGAAATCGGCGTTGGGTTCGCTCTGAGCCTCCTCAGTGACAAGTCCAGGTGCACAAATACGCACTGCCTCGCGCACATCTACCGCGAGAGCCGCGTGTCTCTCCGCATCAGCCTGATCAACACCCATCGGAACTATGCAAAGTGGCCAGTCAAAGGTGGTCAGTAGTTTAGCGCTCCCGGCCTTTGAAAAGACACCCGATGATACCACATCGCTGAGAGAGTCCACCTAAGAGGTACAAGGACGACAGCAAAATGTAAGCGCTCTTTCAAATCACCTCCAACAAAATCATGTACCCCCAATCAAGGAATGGTGGTGGCAAAACCTTCGGTAAGGTTGTGATGCTGACGCAAAGATGCAGCAGAACACCTGAAAGGTGCAGTAGCTCCGAAGATTATCAACCAATGGCATTCATGGTGGTGAGAGTTAAGGCTGCAATAGATAAGCTTTCAAACAGTCAAAATGCTACACAAAACCCAGCGGTTTCGAACTATGCAATTCAGGTGTGAAAATGGGCTTACAAGTCAAAAAGTCCTATGGACTCAATGAAATGCCCTCCCTCGGAGAAACGGTACGCCACTTAGCCGCCCAACAAAGACAATGGTTTGACTACATAGAAATGAAACTCACCTGGATCATAAGAGTTGGTTGCTTCTCCAAGTCACAGTAGGTCTCACTGTAGAACTTCTGCACATCGCTCATCTTCAATTGCTGAAGAATATCCACCTAAGGAGGTGACACAGGTCGCACTCAAGTCAAGCATAGACGAGCGCGGTGTTGTTTAAAGGAATCCTAGGCCCTACCGTTCTCTGACGACGGTCAAAAATCGGACGAGTCGCAAAGACTTCTTTAAAGTTCCTACTGCATTCCATGTCCATCGTTTTGTCCTCCAGCATGTTCACAGCTATCAGCTCGGCCACCTTTGACAAAGAATAACAGAAGTCATTATGCGTGTACACATGGGGAGAGATACAGAGATGGAGAGAGAGAGAGCCTTATCAGGTCTTGGCTACTCTACCATTTTCGAAGGAGACATCGTCTTGGATGCTAAACCAGAGGCGAAACGTCAAGCTCTATCAAGATTCAACACTCCAGAACGATTGAAGTCACTCCAAAAAAAGTACAAAAACCCTAAATGCCAGCCCTGATCGTCATTCAAATGAATACAAGCTCGCACGTACCGACGAATGGAAGGCCTCCTCGTTGAGATGAAAGATTATGTATGGCATAACGCGGTACCAGAAGGCATACATGCGACCTGCCACCAAATTACAATCAAACCTATTCGCCTGACTGTTCACGTGGAGAGAGAGGCCGCACTGTCCTGTGGTGCCTGTCAATGACCAACTGTAGAGACCCAATGAGGAGCCCAGCTTCTCCATGTTACGTAGGTACGCGATGGCCGAATCATGCAGACAGTGCTACAAGAGGGCAAAAATTGCCCTAAAATTCCATTGGCAAAGACACAAGGGACCACAGAAGCAGCCAGAAGATGATGGATTTAAGTCATTACTTACTCTGAGTACCTCGTTCATCACTTCGTACCGAAGGTCGTTGGAAGGGGTGCCCTGTAGGGGATGAATCAGCAGCAAAGAGGTGTTAACATCCGTCTTGTTGAAATTCATCACACGCAGCCGATTCAAACACGGTGGCAGAGCAGCCTTCAAGTACTGCAATAAATAAAGGCGTCACATTAGCGGCACCCCAACCATCTTCCACGCCGTAATGTCCAAATGATCACGCGACTCACGGGCTTCAAATCAATGACTACATCTGGGTTGAGTGTAGCCATCGTGAAATCCATAAACTCCTTCGCCTCCTGTTCAACAAAAAGAGGAAATAGCCTTCGTATCCATCCAACACCCGCTATTTCCCCAACCCATACTATAGTGGGAAGGAATTACCGATTAATTCTATACTCCTACTCATCATCAAAATCGGTGCGCTCACCAAGAGGTCACGAACTCAGCTGGCTTTTTTGTCATTCATGCGCAACGCTCATCACGAGGATTACTCACGACTATGCACAGGTCAAACGTCGTTTTGGAGAAATTAGAGTACTTATTGAGACAGTGCAGTGTAAAGTGTGAAATTTTGCCAAATAATCTTATCCGATTCTAAACACTCCTCTTTCCCTTCCCAACTCTTTAACTCCCTTCGCAAAGATGAAACGATGGCGTAGTTTGAGGAGAGAGTATACCGTGGCTGAGATATTTCCATAGACGAATGCCTTGACATAGACACGGGACAAAAAGGATGGGACAAAGGCTTGGATATCTTCCGAAGTGAGACCCTCAAGAGCCTTCATGCAGTCTTCCAAAAGATGGATGCCGGGAATCTGAAAGTAATTCTTCAGGTGCCTACAAGATTGTTGGAGAATAAAATAATTTCTACTGATATTATTTTAGTAAAGGGTGCATATACAGATAAGGAAAAATTTTTGGTGTTTCTGGTTTTCACAAGGCCGCAATCGCATCAAAATGAAGTAGACCACGCAATTTTTGCGAATGCAATGAAGAAAGATAAGCCTCTAGTGTTTATGCTAAAGCCACCAATGGTGAAGCTGTCGAAGTGAAACAGTTGTATGAAAAGTGACGGGAGGTAAAAGTGCCACGTATTCAGGCGAAAGTCGTATTTATCATGTGGGTTTGGGAAAGTGGTGCTTATTTTGACAAAAAAAATTATGAGACCATAAACAACCAAGTAAATAGAACGACAAAATGAAAAAAGGATTGCATACACATATGAAGGCAAATCAAAAAAGAGAGGGCAAAAATCTGATAGAACGGGTTATGAGGGGCTCACGTGCTGAGGTTGCAAGGATCAAGCATCCGATCGCAAGTCGAATGTCGCAGGCGAACCTTGTAGACAGCGAAATTGCGGTCACTGAAAAGGTGCTTCTCCTCCTCACCCACCAGAGGCTGGAGCAAGAGGTCGATTATCTTCTGGTAGACAAGCTAAATCACACATAAAAACACACAATCTTACTACTTGCGCACCGTCCTTGTCTCTCCCCCTTTTAAGGCTCGGGTTCACCTCTATCACCACCATCATCCTGTCTACACCACGTCCTCACCACAAATTGACTACCTTCTCTTTCCGCACCCCAACTTATGTGGCTCCAATGGCCACCTCCGCCACACAAAACCTAAGCAAGACTCTCCTCCACCAACCCACCTTCAACTCGACAACATCAGACTACCACCAAGGTGGTGCCATCAAGTCCACCACACTACCGAACACAAACAGACACACTGCCATCGCATGATCCACACTCACCAACAACTTCTCATTGAAACCAGCAACTGCAATCTCCAACCCACGATCCAAAGTCGACACTGAGTACCTAGGAAAGAGAGGAGACACCACCCCTCGCACAAACAATACCTCAACCTACAAGTAACCCGCCTCGCTTGCATTGTACAGCAACGTCTGCAAACGCTGGTTCAGCGCACACGACCACAGTCGCAATATCGCCGTACTACAACAAGGAGAAGAAGGGAGTAAGCAAAGCACATTGGTTACCAACCCCCAGTTAAGACCACTCCCAATCCCACCTCAACACCCCTCCGAGAAGGCGTATCACCCAACTGCGGGACCGTGAAAATCTAATTCCTCGGGGCACTCACCAAGAGTAATCCATTTCCACATCTACTCCGTGTCACAGGCAGATGTGAAGGTGAAACAAAACCGAAGGTGACAACACTAACTGTGCCAGCAATTGACATCCAAACAACTTGACGCATGTCACCTGAATGGCATTTCCGCCCTCAGGATTAAGGGCTAAAGCGTTACACCCCGTCTTCACGTCATGGAGGAGCGCGTCCGGCAAGCATCAAGTTTGCACAGGAATGGAAAAGTGTCCTTCTGTCCTTTAAGCTCTAATTACTTCTACACATCCCCCTTCTTCAATGACATGCACAACTGTTTTCCACACCAAAAATGTATTATTCATCTTTTATGAAAAAATAATATAAAAAGAACGCATACACTTCCACGCACAACTTACTCTCTCGCCTGTTGTGGAACGTCTGAGTAGATGCGCACTGTCACTCGAGCTAAAGATGCAAAAGACGCATATTGTGGATGCAATGAAACCTACCTGTTGGACTATTGAATTTTGTCCTTTGTTGATGCCACAACTCCCCAAAGGCTTGCATTTTTCCCAAGCTTATGTTTACCGGAACATCATTGTCCTCCTCCTTTGGCAGTAACTCAAAGTTCGTGGCTGAAAGGCAACATCGACAGTTACCACACAGCACGTCGGTGAGGCAGGTGAGCGATACAAAGTGATAACGCACCAATGAACCGATTCTCCTCAGGGAGATGAAAATCGGGAAGTGGGGTTGGGTTTTGCCAGCGCTGTATCTGATCATCGGACACCTCTGAAGGCGAGAAACACCAAATTCAACAACACCCAAGCAACAACGATGAGGCTAAGTAAGGTTGAAAACCGAGACAAATGCTACCACGAGAAGGAGGGAGAGACGGAGCGGAAAAGCAGCCTATAAGAGAGACTTTCATTCTACTTTCCAGCAAAGGATGGATGAATTGAGAAATACGGTAGCGGTGAAAGGGTCCCAAGAGAACAGTGGAGATATGACAGGTAGAATCGTCGGGAAGAGGTGCACGTACCATCGATGGCGTAGTGAATGTTGAACCAGGGTTCTTTGAGGAAGACGCCTTCCTTCGGGTCCGTGATGGAATAGACGTTGAATTCTGGCAGAAAGGCAGCTATGATCGCTTTGTCGGGGGTGAGGTAGTTCACCACTTCTACGTAGGCCTGAATCAAAGACAAATGAAAAAAAGAGGACCTCCAACAATTGCAGCACTAGAAGGAAGCCCAATTGATGGGTGGGAAGAAATCCGACGGGCCGACTACAATCTCATCACCTTGGCAGTTCTGTTGAGCCAATATTCACGCAGATGTTGAGAAGAGAAAAGGCTGTGGATGGTGGAGGCTTCCAAACCAAACTCGTGGGCATTCACCACCACAAACAGCTAGGCGCCTTTAAGATGCGTTCAAAGGACGCTGGGCTAACGCGTTACCGACTAAGTTGTGTGGCAAGCCAAAGCCCCGATGGGCTGGAAAACACAAATGACTAATCACTGAATCAGCGGCGTGGACACCTGGGCTTAACCTTGAACCCAAGTCAGGGGATGATGGAAAGGGGAAAGGGGAAGGGGAGGGGGACGCCAAGGCGCCTTCTGTCCACCCCACACACACACGCTCAACCTCGGATTTAGCCCTTTCACCCACAATGAGTAAACAATGGACAGCTGGTCACTGCACTGGGGCTTGGGTCATGCCCCAAGCGGTCATTCACAGGGAAGCCGTGATATCTTCCCAGATGGCTAATAAAACTCCTTAGACAAGACTGCAGTGAAGGGAGAGAGAGCGCCACAAACATGGGAAGAGCATAGCGCTTCCAGCTTTCCTCTGAGACCTCAAGGTATCCGTCGTGGATAAGGAAACTTGACAAATCTACAAAAAAGCACCGAAAATTGGGAGCCAAGTGGGTTGAAAGAAGCATTGCGTGCAACCGAAAATCACTGCGACATTCGCATACGCAAATAGAAGGGAGCAATTTTGAAAGCACCGCAACTCCAAATTCACGGTATGACGATTTGACAGCTAATTTTGGTGGCACACTTCCACGGACAAGTTGTGTGCCAGAGACACCAAACACGTCACAAAGACGCACAACACAGACAAATAAGTTCCTATAGGCGCGACACAGGCAGTCGGGAGTGCCTCCAACAAAGTTTGAACTCCATACATCAACCGTGCGGAAGAGGTGACGAGTGTTTTCGCAAGGTCAGAACATCCAAACCTGTGGCATTGAAGATTTCACAAGGAGACGGGAATTCGATGCGAGAAACCAGACCAAAGATGGGGAGAATGTAGAGGAGCACTTTCAAGGACGCCGTACACTTACCTTCAAATCGGGTTCTAGAATCAATGACTCAGCAACAAAAACCTCATCGGGTGGAAACGTTCGCATGGCCGTGGCGATCATTTGTACGTTAATAGAGGGCTCCAGAGGCTCCTGGAAGCGGAAATTCAACTCCCAGAGCTTCTTGAACTCGGGCACAAGGGAGGCGAATGTGCGATCACCGCAGGGTGTCGTGGTGGCCGTGGGATGGGCGAGACTGAACTCCGCAGCACTGCGCAGCATGCACAAGTACGCGAACACGTAATCAGCCACCTAAAGAGGCACAAGACAATACATACAATCTAGTAGAGAATGGCAAGCCGAAGATTGACAAACGCAACGAGGATAGCCTCATATAGCACACCATTAGCATCATCCAACCCACCAGCCACACGAAGTCATATATTTGAGGTTTGTTTAGGAGTGGCAACAACTTCGGATTAATTTCACGCAGTCTTTGTCTTAGGTCGGGCGAGAATTTTTCCTTTTACAAAAAAAAGAGAAGACAAAATAATTTTCAATGCAACTACTGCCCCAGTGCATCTCCAATACGGCCTTAAAATCGGCGAGACTTTGCGTCTCAGACAAGGCGACTACCAGGTCTCAGTTCTGCGACTCCACCCGAAGGCCTTGCACGGGCGCAAGTCAAACGACAGGGCCGAAGGTCGAGCAAGACCAAAATAGTCAGTAAAGAGGTCTGTAGACTGGATGCATATATGAGCTTCGTCCTATGCTACCCTTAGCGTTCCGATGGAATACGTGGTAAACGCCTTCTCAACCATCTCACTCCTCTAGACAGTCCCGTCTGTACGCAAATAGTAACGCAATTCATCAACTCACCGTACAGGGAGCCGTACGACCGAGTTCAGACAGGTCGATGGTGATGCCAAAGAGACTAGTCATTTGATTGTGATGAGTGCTGTCGCTAACCGCACAGCCAGCATGGAAATCCGTCGCAAGATTTCTAGAAAAAAGCACAAATTGTAGTAGAGCAATTAGATGAGGGTAACAAACTTGACTCTGCGTCAGAAAGCCTTACAAGTGACGGAGATGCGCTACCAGACCTCCTCTGCCTTCATATGCGACAATCGAAGCGATAAATCTCAAAGCTGCGGATCTAAAACGAGGAGAAATCACTCCCAGAGTATTATTAGCATTCTTCAAAGCTCAACAGAGTTCCAAAGCCAGGAGAGAAGGCTGAGCACGGCTAGCGTAAGTAATGGTCACACAGTAAGCAAGGTGTAAACGCACAACCTCGGTTTCAGACACTCTAACTTTTAAAATGAGTTCTCCACATTCTAACTTTGACTAGAATGTGTTACAAAGGCACAGTGGGAAATGAACAAACTCAACTGTCAGTGATTTGGTAGACTCAAACCGCCTAAACGTACCTATACTTTGAATGCATTGGAGGTAGGCTCCAAATAAACGAAATCGAGGAAGTCTCACTCAACGGACAAACTAAAGAGCGAGTCAGAAATGCGACTGTCTAATCTCACTTTTGTACATTTTTTTAAATGCTGTAGGGGGGAACGGATTCACAAATTCTGACAGATCCGGGACTTGACAATCTCTAAAATGTCGCATTTTAAAGTGAATTTTCAACAAATCGAAAAATACCGGTTAGGAATTGCACCGAAACATTCGGTGACCATCGCTTGAAGATGGTCCAAAGTGTCTAAAAAAGGGACCGATTGACATGCAGCCGCAAATACGATAATAAGAATATTCCTAGAAAGATCTCACCTTCTGATTCAACGGCCAATGTCATGAGAGAGGCATTGTAGTAAGTAAGGTAGAAATCTCGAAGTAATGCGCAGACATCAGTGCCTGCTTCCATAGGCTTATGTTTTAAAGAAATTCGATTGCCTGGATAAAGAGGAAAGTGGATAAAGGTGCCTCAATTCACAAGCCGAGAAAAAAATCTTGAAGACATACCAAAACCGAAACGGCGATAAGGCGAGTCTTCGTTGGCTAACGATGCCATAAGTTGACCCAAACGCAGCGAGTCTTTTGATCTAGACACACAATATTCTACAAATTCGCACAAAAAAATAGTAGTTAGCCCCCATCTACTCAAAGTGAAGCAGAAATTAGATACAAGATAGTGACGAACCATGATGCACATTTTCAAACTCTGCATTTATATAATCCGGTGTAAGTAAAGGCGCAATGAAGGCGTTAGCAAGTCTGTCAAGCGCCTCTTTAAAAAAAGGGCGACTAATGTCAAAAAAGAATAATGTATAATCCCCGTCAGTGCATGCGTCAGAATTCCCGCCATAATACTCGACGAAGTCGTCATACTCATTTTCAGTGGGATACTTCTCGCTACCTCGAAGGACCACTATGCAACGTAAGGTTACAAGTAACATTAGGAGAATTTACCGTGTTCCAAAAGATGAGCCAGTCCCTGAACCTCCACGGGATCAGTAAAATATCCGACATTAATGCAGAGAGCTGCAGCGGACTATAGCAGCGTGCCAAATACTGAGCCAACAAACCTTTCGCAAGCCTTTCATATGCTTTCCCTCAGATCGAACGAAGGAACCCTCCTGAGTGGACTCCTCCGAGAAAGGATTAATAGGGTTTGCCTCAGATACCGCCGATTCTTCAGGCTTCAGACTTGATACCAGCATAGCCCGTAGACCATTTGGCAGTTCAATATACCTAAAAAATTACCCTCAAAAGTTAACACTACCGATAAGTTTTAAAGTCAGAATCAGACTTCAACACCTTAATTGCCGACTCATCCATAGCACTTTCAAAGATGCAAGCAAGTCGAACTTTGCTCGCCGCGCCAAACAGCTATTGGTTCATATGTAACCTTAATTGTAGGTTACAAAAAAGGAACTATTTAAAGTAGCCTTGTCGGAATAGTTTTGCGTGCGCAAAGGAGTTTGTGCATACTTTGCTAAGACTACTAATAAAAAACACAAAATTAGTTTTTGCATTACAATTTTGGCAATTTTTGCAATTTTTCCAGAGAAAATTTACTACTTCTGAAATGTTGAAAAAATTCAAGAGTGCCTAGGTTTGTCCGAGTCATCAGATGCTATGAGATACTGAATTTAATGGTCGCTTAGATTAAAGGTATGAATATTCACATAATATTTACTTGAAACAGGCGGAAAAGTATATCCTCCATTTGCGCACGCTTGATGCAGTTAAAATCTTGCCCTGTCAATGTAAGATTCGACCAACGCCACGATGACCACTGTCGAATTTAGGCAGTTTGAAGACTCCCTAGATTTCGATTATAAGCAAATCAAATAAATCATTCGAATTAATTACCACATCACACATTTCCATCTATGAAAGCGAATGCTTAACGCAAAGCAGCACAAATGAATATTTCCTCCCAGTCCTTGCTACTGATATCTGGCCTCCAATTTGTTGGTATCTCTTACACTGCCGCATTTTTTTAATGAGCAATAGCCGCACCTAGATGAGTTGACAATTCTCGAACTGTTGAGCACCTTCCGACCTAAGGTTGTCAGTAGCAAACACTGTGGTAACTGCACGGTCGCGCTTCAGCATTGAGTTCTTTGAGATTCTCTTCCCCATTGTTTTAGTTTAAAGTTCAGGTGACTAGTAAGGCTCTTGATTACCATGCAGAAGACCAGACGACGGCCTTCGATGCTTCTGTATTGATTAAACTACGTCCCAGATACCACACACTTCCCCCGCTTCCAAAACCAACGTCAAATCCTGACGTTCGCAAATTCAGGAAACCCTGATATGGGCAGCAAGCATAATAATAATCCTACCCAATGCAAAAAAAACAAATACAAAGTCCTACTCCGGTTCCATGAAGACAAATATACCTGACCTAACAAAAATGCAAACATCTACCACCACAACAAGGCGTACGTGACAAACGCCAACTGTATTGCCAATCAGTCCGTACTCACTTCACGTTCATATTCCACTCAATCAAGCAAGAATAGAAAGTAAACAAAAAATTGGAAGAATAAAGAAAAGACGGTGGAGGAGGCGGGAGGGAGGAGAAGGAGGAAAGAGAGGAGGAAGCAGTTAACACTCTTCAACTGCACCGCCACTTAACATACACACAAACATATGCATAGTCCTAACGTTAAGAGGGAAAAAGGACTTTGTGTTTGAATTCGCGAACTTTCGATATTTCTACTACTCGTGGAAGAACAAGCCTTGACTTCTCCTTCTCAGTGAAACGATTAGCGGTGGAATCCACTTTTGCTGCATCTGTGACAAGGCCGGAGGCACAGGCGAGCACCGCCTCGTGTATGTCCACGGCAAGGGCAGCGCTCCGCTCCGCCTCTGCCTGTCCACGACTCATCGGAATTACACAGAGTGGCCAATTAAAAGTCTTCAGACAATTCAAGCCATCGCCCCGCAGTGAGGCGTCCATCAACTCTGCGTCGACCAGAGAATCCACCTGAGGAACAGAAAGCGAAAATGGAGAAAAAGGCGAAGGAATGAGCCGATAATCCTCATATCTCTCAAAGCAAAACTGCTGCACCCTTACAGGCCATCAAATGCGCTTCTCATACCTCCATACGTTCAAATGTGACGCAGTTAACAAGCAGAGAAGCCAAAAGAAAGTAGACCTGTGTGTGCATGCAACGAGGAGCAGTGATAACACAGCTGAGGAGGACAAAAAGTAAAAATCTCCAGGTACTCGCGCCAGCAGCCACGGTAATGACGCCCAGTCGGAACAGAAGATTTCAATTAGTCAGTGGATCCCAAAGTCAACAGCGAATCGCACTCGTAGCCCAGCGATCGTAAATTGCCTTAAGCACCCACAAAAATCACCGACAACGAGTGATAGCTGACTTACCAGGTTATAATATCAGTAATCCAGCTAAAGCAAAGCACACACCCACAACAGGACGTTTAAGGAGAACTGCCAAGTGTCTCTACGCATGGACGTTAATTCTCATCTTGCCCATAAAATCTCAACATCCCAAATGGACTCAATCCAACACAAAGAGAAATTACCAATGACTTCAATAAATGCTATGCGATGCAAGCAGTTAGAAAAGAAGTGATAGCCTCCAACACCCCTCAATCAAGAGATTTAGTTAACTCTAAGAAGGCAAAACCCACCTGGATCATCAGAGTTGGCTGCTTCTCAAAGTTGTAGTATGTCTCCCTGTAGAACTTCTGCAAATCACTCAACTTTAATTGCCGCAGAATTTCCACCTAAAGAGGAGACGCAGGCAGCACTCACATTGCAGAATGGAAGGATTGCATTGAGCAGGTAAAAGGTCGGCTATGCCAACTAACACATACCGCTCTCTGACGACGGTCAAACATGGGACGATCCGAGAAGACTTCTTTCAGGTTTCTACTGATTTCCACGTCCATTGTCGCGTCTTCCAGAAGGTTCGAAGCTATCAGTGCCTCCACCTTTGACACACAATCAAACACATTCATCATACAAGAAAACTTCGCCCCACTTCTCCACCTCATTCACCACCTCCATGATCCGCTTCGACACGGTCTCAATTACCAACAGCCTACCAAACACTCAGTCTCCACAATTCCCATAACACCACTCCATCCACATCACACCGCGTCCTCCTCTTCCCTCCTCTCCTCTCCTCTCTCCTGCCATGCTCTACTCTCAACATGCTCCACAACTGGAACAACCCCACCCTCGCATCCAACAACCAACCAACCAACCAACCAATACAACTTTTTGTGCCACTTTCTCACTACAAATGCGCTCTCACTTCAACCAACACATGACATCATGCATCTACCAACTGTCCTGCACAACCAACTTCTCCTGCGCGAGAATACATTCCACCTACCGACGTTTGAAAGGCCTCCTCGTTGAGGTGAAGCACGATGTAAGGCACAATTCGGTACCAAAAGGCATACATACGTCCCGCCACCAAATTGCTGTCAAACTTGTTCGCCTGACTGCTCACACCCACAGACAGACCGCATTGACCTGTGGTGCTGGGCAATGACCAACTGTAGAGGCCAACTGCGTATCCCAGTGTCTCCCTCGTCCGTAGGTACGCGTAGGCAGATTCTTGCAGACACGACTAAAAGTTGGAAAGAGCTAAATTCAAGAAATACCTCTTAACAAATCCAATACACGTAAATGAGGCATTCAGAAAATGAAAAAGTGCAGGTAAGGTGGATCGTCACTCACCTCCAATAACTCATTCATCACTTCGTATCGAAGGTCATTCGAAGGAGTGCCCTGCAACGGACTCATCAACACCAGCGACGTGTTCACATCCGTCTTGTTGAAATTCATCACACGCAACCGATTCAAGCACGCCGGCAACGCCGCCTTCGGATACTGCAATTTACAAGAGTGTCACATCACTCACACCTCAACCACCTTCCACGACACAATCACCAACTCATCTAGGCACTCACAGGTTTCAACACTGCCACCTCACGTGGTTTCAGTGTGGACAGCGTGTAGTCCACGAACTCCTTCGCCTCCTATTCAAACAATACAAAAACAACGGTCACTCAACACATCCTCCATTCCCATCCCACCTCTTCCACTCCTACTCCTCCTCCTCCTCCTAACTCCTCCCCAATCTCCACCATTCATTCTGCATCCACCTCACGCATCATCACCCACCCAACCATCCAACCACGCATGTGTCGCCACTCCGCCCATTTGCCCTCACACGAGGCACCGCTTCACCCACCGTAGCAGACGATTAGCCACGCACTCCTCCCCTCCCCTCCCCCTATCAACAACCTCAATCCCACCTAACTCCGCACCCACCACTACCAATCACATCACCCACATCGTGCCTCAATACTCGCCTTCCATCCCCCTCAACCTCACCACCACCACCGCCACCACCACCGCAACCCATCGCCTCCTCCTCCTCCTCCTCATCCTCCTCCCCACTCAACCCCTCAACCACAGTCTCGCCCTTCTCACACTCACAAACAACCACCCAACATGACGACATACCGCAGTCCACTCGTCTTCTCAATCACTCTCATGACGCCAGTGTCTCCACTCTCACTCGCACACCCACACCGAAGGAAAATTCACGCCACCTCATCACCACTCCCAAACAAACCACACTGCTTTACCAAAACCAATAAACCAACTGTCACATGCTAACAAATGCGCCATCACCACAGTCCTCCTCACTTCATAACCACCCATAACACCAACACCCTCCCC